TCCAAGAGATCCGCGTGCGCATGGTCGCTGATAGCTGATTCCTGGAGAATGGCTTTACGTTTCCTTTTACCTTTCTCCCGGTCGCCCGTTGCCAATTGCAATTGGCGCGCGAGTGAGAGCTGGCAGGTCGCTCGGGAATTGTCGGACCTAGGCCAGCGCGTCTGGCAAAGAAGAAAGTCGCGTGAAAGTTTAGCTCGCTTGAAATCGGCGAGGCTTGATGGTGGTGGGCACGGATGGAGGATGCCAATGTGGCAATGTCGCTGGCGATAGTGGCGACAGTGGCGACAGTGCGATGGTAGGTGAAGAGTCAATATCAGTACTACTAGCCCCTACCCCGCAGCCACCTTGACTACCTTGACACTGTGCCCGTTTGACTCGAGTGACTGGACTAGCCAGCATTGATTCGTCGTTCGTTTTTATTTCGGGCCGAACGGTGAAACTTTCCTCTTTCACTCTCGCGAGATGCTGACCGGCACCGCGACGCCATTGGCATAGCGTCGCTATGGCAAACCTGGAATTCCCTGAAGCGGGTTAATAACTCTTTTTCTTTTTTTTTTTCATATCATTCTTAAGAATCTCACTCGACCGACTCTCTTTCTGTTCTCAACTTCCTTATCGAACTGGGTTCAAGAAAAACATAAAAGATCGACGTCCTAGACCGACGCCGACGCCGACGCTCTGCACAGATGAACACCGGCACTCGGACGTCCAAGTCTGGACGGTTCTGCTGGCAGTTCTGCTTCGTTTCGCGTCTTTTCGTTTTTCTTGGCGATCAACCAGCCGTTTACTCATTTTCATTTATTTTTTTTTATTTTGGCGAAAGTACCCAGGATAAGTGGAATTTCCTGTGCCGAGCAGTTTTCAACGTCCAATCCTAGGATTTCTCCGCGCGTAACTGCCATTCAGTTTCTCATTCTCTCATAAATTCATTAGATCAGTCAGCGAGCTCTTCGCTCTAGTCCTTTGGTGATCGAGCGATTTCGGTGATGCGGGTCGCTCGTGCTCTCGAGTTTCGCCAGGTCATCGCACTCATTGTGATATATACCTATGTATATGTCATTCTCTCTTTCGCACATAATACCTTACACACACTCTCTCTCTCTCTCTCTCTCTCTCTCTATCGCATGCTGTTCTCAGATTGTTAGACTGCCAGATTGTCCGAGACGTCAATGATCGGATATCAGAATCAAATGTTGCAAGAGTCCCGCCTGCACAGGATTTCCTGAACAAAAATTGGCTTCTAAGCCTAGAGGAATTAACAGAAAGAGTAAAATTAGGTCAGGCAACCCAGAGCAAAACGAGTCTACGTTAAAATATGTAAGGATGCCTTGAAATGTATCGAAGGTACATAAGAAATTAAACGAGCCTAATCACAGTGCTGGAAATAAAGAGAATCCAAGTAAATACAAGCAAAGAAACTCCATCTATCTCTAATGCTAATTTGCTAATTCTAACAGTGGCCGTCGGGAGCAGATACTCTCGGTACAGGGTGAACGGCCGACCTAGAGGCTGTGTGTTGCGCCGCGCTGAACGCGGTTCCACGCGTAGAAACTAACTGCCGTGGCGGCTCGTCGAGCGGATTGGAACGGAGCGGAGCGGAGTGTAAAAGCCTCAAGCAAAGTATATATATATATATATAGCTACTGTGCCTAATGCATGGCAGCATACGTCGGGACGCCAGGAGCATCAGCGGCGTCGCGACCATGCTTAAGAAGAGAAGGAGGAGGGCCAACAACAACAAGAGCAGCAGCAGCAGCGGCACCACCACCAACAACTGCAACAACAACACGCGTCTCACCGAACTCGACTTGATCTCGTCGAGGCGAGCCGAGTGGTTAGGTCAGGGAGAGACTGCGAGACAAAACTCAGCCACGCACGTCGCCTACATTTCTCCGGGAGCCCAACAACGCGACCACCACGAGCGCCGCCATTAGGAGTATCCTTTCCTTCTTCTTCTTCTTCTTCCTTCCTTCTTCCGCCTTTCTCCTGCCGCGGCGGAAGATAAATTCTGACTGGGAGCAGCTTCTCCTAGCCAGCCAATCCTGGCTTCTCTGGTCTCCTCGTCCTCGAGCCGTCAGCTTCTCTCACTCTCGCTTGACTCTTCTCTTGCTTTCTCCTTGTCTCCGTTCATCCTCAATGTTGTCTTTAGTACTTTCTCTGTCTTTCCTTCTCCTAGATAACTCACGCACACCACCTCCGAGAGTCTCGGTGCACGATATCGCGTCACGTAACCTTGTCTTCGTGCCATGAGCCTGATGACGTCACCGCTGCGCTCTACGTTGCACCTACGTGACGTCGTAATCGGTGACCTCGACTCATAGGAGAGGATACACGTAAACGGTACCCAATGCCAGAAAGAGGAGAGGCTAACAAGGAAGGAGGAGGGAGAAATTTGGTTGCAGATTATTCGTAGAGTCCCTTTGAAAATTCAGAAGCGCGTGATACTTCGAAAGTGTTTATTTACCGTGATACAGGTTGATTCATGCAGAATGCCACGCGTACTTAACCCATCCGCATGAGCCACGATCTCTGGGTGGTGTGCAACGGGAAGGTAGGCCACCAGGTGAATCCACGAGCACTGAATAGGAGTCTGCCATTGGTCGAGCGTTGCGACAACATCCAAGCAGCCAACATAACCAGGCAGTTTGTAGCTTGCACAATCGGACTGCTGCCTTGCTGGCTAGTTTCTATAGCGCGATACAAAAGCACGAGGAGGTCCCGTCTCTCTTGGGCCAGGTCTCTGATGTTGCATTAGGTCCTGGCGCTTGATCGTCACAGTCAATATCGTAGTGTCGGATGATGTCGGATGATGTCGGATGATGTCGGATGATGTCGGACGATGGCAGCGACGCTGGCGTCGTCTCGGTCTCCATGGAAAACGGAGGCCAGCGCCGCGAGTTCTCCCTCAACGTGGGATGCTGCCCGTGGAACGACGAGTCGTTCACCTTTTATCCCAGTAACACGGCATCGCGCACTAATACGAATGCCAGCACGGGCACCAGCACGGGTATACGAATGGGAAGACGAAGAAGACAAGGAGGAGCACGAGCATGAGCACGAGGACGGGTAGAGTCGGGACTGCGAACTTCCAAGTACACGCTGAACTTGCGAAGAGACTCGTGGACGCTACTGGCTACTCTATTCCGTGTCGTTTGGTTCGATACGCTGCCGGCCCGGAACGACTCCAGGGTTTCGATTTTACATGAAAAAAGGTGGCAGAGTCGTGTCGCGATTAGACACTCGGGAATATTAGCCGGAACGTCGTCCGGAACTTCTTGGGGGAATGATGCGGCTTGACTCGGTTAAGGAGCAGAAGGAGGCGAACCTGGTTCGCATCAGGTTCGGTATTATTAATTAGGAAAGTGCAAAGTGTGGGACCGCCTTGAACTGGAGTTTGGTTCTGGACTGGATTAGCTGTCCTTAACGTCGACCACAAACAAGACCTTGTCGTAAACCCTTTCAGTTAACAATGTAATGGCGTTGTTTATAGGTATCCATAAATTTTAATTGCCATCTAGGCGGTTTGCCAATTGTCCTATGGATCGTTCATTTTTTTTTCTTTACTCCTCAAGGGTTTTGGTTAAGGAATAGGGGTTTATTAAGTATTTCTCTAAGTAGCTTTTCAGAGGCTCCTAAGACTTTGATGCTTATAGTTATAGGTGGATTTTACAGGCCGAAAGGAGGCCTTGCGAGAAAAGGTAAGGGGCCCGCAGACCCTGGGGATTACTCCTAGCCAAATTGTCTTCGTGTCCCAACAATTTTTACCTACACGTCGACACGTGCGTCGTTCGAACGTTTCAGTACACTTACGTAAGTGTAGATTGCTTCCACAGATAGTTTCGATTAGCTAACGAGTTTTCTTATCTGCTCGTATGTCAAGTGCGAATGTGCGCGCATAGCAGAGTAGCTATTCAAAATTTCAGGAGCCCGTTCCACCGGGAGGCGGGGTAGGGGGGCATCCGAATGGGACCTATTGTACGTTTCCAAAAGGTTTTCACGTGATATTCATGGGGCAAGTTAAGTAGCGGTGTTTGGTATATCGGTCATTATTTTGGGAATTATTTTTGAAGTGCCCTAAAGTCCTATGGTCAATATCGCACGTAAACTGTCAATTTGTCGGAATAACGGGATCTGATACATGCGTTTCATTAGTGACAAATTGTTTCGTTGAACCAATAGAAAGTTTATGGATGACGTCGCTTTTAACATTTTTTTCAAATTAAAGGTTTCAAAGTTTAAATCGTATCTCAATTGCTCCTAAAAATGCAATACAGTGCAATACCTTTGGACTCCAATACAAATGCGAGGAAGGAAAATAATGTGTATCGATCCCGATTTATCGGAGTATTTGTTGCCCGCTCCTAAGTAAAACGATCACTTACTTACTATAATGAAGATTGCGATAGAATAAAAAAAAGTGGAATTCTTATGTGACGCAATAGTCCCACATCTATCGCAAATATTCCGAAATAACCAGTCGTTTCTTAGAAACAATATCAAGTTCTGCTAAATTCTACCAAAAGTGCTGAATGAAACGTCTGTAAGCCAATTGCCGCTCTAGTACGTTTGCCAATGTAAATGGAGCTGAGGTTGAGATCTTTGATACGTCATTTAAAAAAAAAAAAAAAGAAAAAGAAAAGAAAAAACCCAATTCTTTTCCTTCGATCCTCTAATAATTTTCTATTGCAATTTTTAAGGTCAGCAGCAAGCCCAAATTGTGTCTCTGGTCTCCCCATGGGGTCCCTTGGTGTCCACGATGGTCCCATGGGTGCGTGCGGTGGGCAGGGGCCTTGTCGCTGTCGGCGTGGCATGGCCCAGTGTCAGCCCCACCCCGGATGATGTTCCAGGCGAAACGTGCCGATACCAGACCGGCAGGGTGAGTTCCGTGATGGAGGTAAATTTTCCGAAACCTCCCCCTGCCAATTCCAGTGGAGCCGGGTTCGCACCAATGAAGAGAGTTCTCCGTCGGCCAGGTGGGGGCCAGCCAAGACTTAAGCGAGGCCACTCGCCGTGAGCTGTCAGAGCTCTGTGGGGCACGGTCACGCACAGCAGCTAGTTTCCGGTAGCATCGAACGATTCGTACTTTCCTTCGAAAGTACCTTTCACGAATCCTTTACGGAATCGCGCGAGGTCTCGATTTAACTCACGCACGAGTACGCGTCCCCGTACTGAAATATACAAGGCTAACACGTGCGTCTACTGCCGGATCTCAATCTCTGTCACGGGATCCTTACTGTAATCTCTGTATTTAAGATTACTGAACGCACGTTCTACCTCGTTATCGTTTTGTTTTCGTGAGTTTGTGCGACATTCGAACGTGCCTTGCAGCTGTGACAAGTTGCCGAAAACCTGTCGCAGACAAAATAGAGAGAAGAGACTGAGACAGGAGAGAGACAGAGAGAGAAGAAATAGCTGTGTTCAGAGTCTAGCTTGGAAATTGTTGAAATAACGTCGAGAGGAATATTTTCTCTTGAGCTGAACGCGCGAAGCAGGAAGCTACCAGCCAGTGAAACTAGCAGTAAGATGGAAATACAACTGGACCCAACTGGTCTCTACTGAAAGAACTGAAGTTGTCAACTGAACAAAGAGGAAAGAACACAGTATTATTATATTTGCATAAAACTTGCAACATGGCTGGTGGACTAGATCCTACCGGTCTCTATTAAGTGGCTCTTGTAAACGAGGTCAATCGTACCCGAGAGGGTATTCGCGAACGTCATCCTCGAAGTGTTCGCCGTAAGGCCCACTGCAGAACTGCCACCAGATCGTCATCGAATTGGAGAATCCTCGCGCTTCGATCTCTTCGTTGCTGATTGTTCGGACACTCCTTGATAACCATGGCTGGACTCGACCCCACAGGACAGTACTGACCTGGAGGAACGTGAGGACGGATCGTCCTGACGTCGAAGATCGACAGACTTCCTAGCACTTCGTGGGGGACATCGCGCGCGACCCATCCGAAGGCATGGCTGCCGCTGGTCTCGATCCCACGGGCCAGTACTGAGAGCCTCGCTGTGCCGAGGACTCTCTTGGTCAGTTTCCCCGCGCGACCTCACCACCCGCGACTAGCGTCGCACCTCCTCTTCCTCCTCGTCGAGGCGCCCTGCCGCCACTCGGGCCCGTCTGTCAACGTGTGAGTCCTGCACTTGCTCCCTGCGAGCGCACCAGCCAGCCAGCCAGCCAGCCAGCCAGCCAGCCAACCAGTCGGCCAAACATGGGATACGTCAGGGGACGAGAGGAAACGTCCTCGCCGAACCTGAGGAGATGGGGATGGAACATTCACATTCGAAAGGGAAGACATCGGGGGACAGTCAGGAGAATATTCTTCTATGATCAAGAGTTCCATCCAAAGTAAGTCCTTTTGTTTCTACTTATAGGTTATTTGTCTATCGTGCTCCCAGCGTTAGGACATTCTCGAGGAACAATTCCAACACCCATCCTCCAGCTCACCTCCTCGACTCGCATGTATATACGTAGATACATACTGGTTCTCTACTGAGCCATACTTCGAGAGGCAGCTAGAAAAGTGGGCACGACGAGGACGAGATGGATGAGCTGGATGAGATGGATGAGAAGGTGGGAATTCGCCTGCCAGTAAGACTTGGCTGACCCGCGCGTGACCGTCAATTTAAAAGGCCGACAATCCGATATCTTGAGCTGTTACGTCACGCAACGCGTAAATCTCGATGTTTGATCGCGGATCAGACCTCAAGGTGTTTGATACTCGAGCTCGAAAGACAAATTGTACCTTCTGATTATTAAAATCGGCGATTTAGATAAGATGGAAGGATAAATTGATAAGAAATAAAAATAAGAAACGGTACAAGAATAGAATTCGTTATCGGACCCAAACGTCTCGTAGCCCCGAATTTTTAATAAGACCGGAGGACGGTGCTACAGGAATGATTCTCTCTCGCTCTCATTCTCTTTCTCTCTTTTCTCTCTCTCCTCGATTCTCTCTTCAATATCTTCTTTATCCCGCTCGTAAAAGAACGAAATTAGTCTCGGTTCCATGGGAAAGACAAGACCCCGATAGTGGCAAGCAACCTCAACTCACATGGCCGGGTTCATTGACACTACCTCAGTTTTGGGCATTGGCCCTCTCGCTCGCACTCCCTCGGCGGGCCAATCCTTCTGTCTTCCTTCAGCTGGCTGCCCGTCGAGTGGCCCCACGAACACCATCGTCACCGTCAGCGCTACCGCCAGCAGCACCGCCAGCGCCGACGCCGGCACCGGCACCAGCGCTACCTTTGCTGCCCACAGCGACAGCCACTACGTCGAATACTCCCACCATGTCCAATAGGCTACTCGTGATGCCCATATGGATGCCTTCTCCTCGAACACCCAAACTCGATTCTCTCCTCCGCAGCCTGACACCTTTGCCAACTTCTCGTAATGCCTCCTTTGTTTTGGTGACTCTACACCACCACACGCTCCCGAGTGCCCCTGTTAGCTCTCTAGTTATTTCTCGATGTTTATTGGAAAGATTCGACGGAGAAAAGCTCGCGTGATTCCGTTGACTGAATGCCGCCGAGAGAGGATCAGCACATCACGTGTGACCTAGGACAACATGCCGCGCGAGCTGCATGCCAATCATCTTTCTCGTTGTAATAGGCGGATCGAATCGAATGCTCGTTCGAGCTCTACGACGTATTGGAAATACAAAGTTTATACATATATTGTAGATATACAGGGAGCTATTGACCGAGAAGTTTTGGCCAGCAGACGGGGCCATTGCTTGCATACCAATTCCAATCGTCGGATTTGAACTCGGACAGGCGAACGCGCGAGCAGCTTTTTCTCTTCGACATTTAATTTTCGATTTGACGGAAGAAATGGAGGTTCGATATTTGTCTCTGTTTCTGGAAGCGTCGAGAGTTTGTCTTTTGATCTTACTGAATAGTCGAATCAACAAGTGATTGTTCTTTGAATTCCTCAGAATAATATAGACGGCGTACAATAAGAGGACATCAGATTCTAGTATTTCCAAAGTTTGTTTTGGACTCTGTCAAGGATATTTTTATTTTCATATAAATAATAACGCCTCCCGCTTACTCTTCTATCGCTTCTAAACGGTCGATCGTTCCTCTTCCCTTCGATTACGTCCTATCCGTTCTCTATCACCACCTTCGCCTCCTCCTCGTTTGCCTCCTGGCGCTCCTTCCACAATCCTCCTTCTTCTACCACCTCCTTCTCTTCCTCTTCTTCTTCACCTTTTTCTTTTTTCTCCTCGTTGCTCGTCTTTTTTCTCCGCCGAGAGGTTCGAGGTTCGTTCACCTCTCTCTGCCTAGCCTCATCCTAGGACTCGGGCGAACAGCAGCAGAGGAGCATTTCTATTTGAAAAGCTACGTCGGGCGGCCCCCTCGTACCGGACGGACCAGAATTTAATTTGACATTCCTGAAATTCTACTCTCGCATTTCCTCCTGGAAGAAGATCGAACGACCCCACAATACTTGCTCGCTCATCCGAACGCCTGCTCCGACTTGCTGCACCGCTGCACCGCTGCACCGCCGATGCATCTTCTCCGCACTTCGTCCTCCGCAGCCCTGACCCGTCCTTCGTCTCTTTAACTTGTCGCTATGATTCGCACAACCTGCGCCGAGTCTGCATGATCATCCAGAGGAGCTTCCTCGTAGCCGCGGAAGTACGTCGCCCGCCGACTCTTCGATATAAATCTCTAAAAGCATAGATCAGCAAAAGGACCGAATGGCTGAATTAATCGAGTTCTCGACTACTCTGACTCCTAGATTCTTCAATTCCTCGATTCCTCGACTCGACGGCATCTCGGATGCGCGATACATCGATCGAAGGTCTAGCTCGGCAACTGGTATAATGCCAACCAGTGGCATTTACTGGGAGAGCAGCTCTGCCGATGCCTCTCTCGTGCGGCCGATTTCTTCTTGCGGCTTCTTCAATCTTTCATTACTCCTCTTGAGAAAATTCTCAACGCGCAACCGTAGCTGCCTTCATCTTTCTCCTCTCTTGCATTTTCCCGTCCATTCCCATAAGACTGGACATCTTGGATCGACAATGTGACTCCCGTCCTCTGCTCAGCTACCGGAAGAGTCCGAACTACCCACGTACGGAGAAGCGTCTTTTCCTGACCTTACCTATACTTATCAGAGAAAATCCGTTTCATCGATCAAGGACAGCCGGATGCTTGATCGGGAGACCGTATCAGTCTTATGACCTAACAACCCAACCATACATTCCGCCATGAAGATGAATTCCTTTCTTCTTCCTCCTTCGTTATCTTCTATGTTTTATCATTAAAATATCTGTCAACTCGGAGGATTGCCTTACACTCAGCAATTCCGGATAAGCTGGCGCTTCTAGGACAAAGGCACCCCGTTATCCGTGGTTGTACGTTGGATGCAAAATGCAGGACGAGAGGCAGAATCAAATGCCTTTGATTGGTAGTAGTGAGCGGATCGCCTTGACGAGAAAATCACGTGGTCGCGGGAAATGACTCGTTATATAAACTAATGATTATGCAGTTGTACGTGTTAGAGCTGTACTCTCTCTCTCTTTCTCTCTCTCTCTCTCTATAATCTAATGCCCTCGATGTTACCGCTCTGTTGTCTTTGTACCATTGTTGTCGGTCTGTCGCTCGTGGTCGCTGAGAGACGAGTTGGGAGGCGGGGGAGGAGGGGTTTATTTCCTTGTCCCTGTAACCATCGTCAAAGTACGTCAGTACAGCTGTACGTAGGGTAGTCGGCTAGTCAACCGAACAGCATCGCTAACTGTACCGTAAAAATACCGCACGAGCCAACGGGACATCAAGGCGTCACAGATCTTACGTGTAGGTCTCTCAGTAAGTAGTTGATGCAGCTACGTGCTCGTGAAGGTTCACCTCGCGGGGCCTATCCTCCCCAGGGGAGAATAGAAGGAGGAGGAGGAGGAGTAGGAGGGGGGGGAGGTGGTTCACCCTATAGAAAATGCCGCGGTAACTCAATATTTATTCCGCAGCGGAGAGATCGGGTAGGCACAGGCTGCGAAAGTAGGTCAACGGCGAGCCGACAAGCCGAGAAGCAGGTAAGAGGGTAAACGGGGGAGGGAAGTGGATTGGTCGGCGGTTGACCAGGTAAAGGGAGGTGAAGAAGGTGAAGAAGGTGATGTTTACCGGAGGAGGCTGGGGGGGCGGCGGAGGGCGCACCAAGTTCAGGGGCAGGGACCAGCCTGGTATCGGGCAACCTGGTCTTGCTCGTAGCCGCTCTCTGTTACTTGTTGCTGGACCACTGGATGCTCTTTCTTTCTTCTGCCGTTCACGAGGAAGAGCTACATCGGATGCTTAGCTCAATGCTTCCGAACGGTTCACCCGTCCTTGTTTTGACTTCACTAAAAGTCATTCGAGCATCGTCTCTATGCTCGCTCCTCTCACGCACTCACGCACTCACGCACTGGCATAATGACGCGTTCACTCGGTCTCGAGGACGAGAGCGGTTTGTCCGCTCTCTCGTAAGTCGTCGTCCATAGGCGCGCAATCTTGGCCTAGGAGCACCGCCACCTCGAAAGAAAGTTTCACCGTGTCCCGCTTTTCGAGTGAACTTGGCCCAGAAATATCGAAAAGAAAGTGGAAGTGTTCCCTCACTCTCGATCGAGCCTTCTTCCATTCATCGTGCCTCGGCGTCACGACGTGAGAGAAAAACGTAAGGCGTCGCAATGCGTAAAGCGCAAACCGTTACCCGCATCCATGCACCGTGAACCATCGGGCGTCGTAGATCGTTGGAGCTTTTCATCGAGCGACCCGTCGATTGATCATCGTTCTTTTTTTACCTTGTCGCCCGGCAAAAAATCGCCCTTGACAAAATTGCACGAAGGCCGTTCGCTGTTACGCAGAACGTAAGAAAGAAAAAAAAAATAATAAACGAAACATTATCGTTCACTGATAATCCACGTATTTCATGTAGATTCCAAAGTTCCTGTGTACCTAGCTCGGTGGGTCGCTGGGTCGCTGGGTAAACCAAACTGAGCTGGACAGTTAGGTAGTCGGTCGACAGGCATATCGAGACATTATTATTACAGGATACTATAACCATGTACTGTACTACATGCCAGAAGCTAGTAGATGCTACTGAATTCTAAAATATGGCACAGTTCTGTCAGTCGTACACGTATAATACACCGAGGGCAACTGCAGGAATATTTACCTGGCAGTTTAGCATTGCGAGTGCCGGTGAAATGTCCCTGAGGATACACAAGTCGGCCAGGGCGTGGTTTCCTAGTGCAGTTTTTGCAGTTTTTGCCTGCCTAGAATGCACCAGGCGTCCTTCATTCAGATCAGGATACTTGGTCTCCGTTGCGTTGTCCCCTGCCGTCTTTTATCACTGCCTTCGCTGCTCCACCACGTCATCCCACGATTAGCGCAGCATCTCCCTGTATCGAAATTATCTAAGCTCATTCATTTGTCACGACCTCGTCTAATCTCTGCTATCTCTTGTTTCAGAATTCGAGAATGACCTCGAGTGTCACTGTCGCCAAGGAGCGTACCTGTCCGGAAGCTGCTCTAACGCCAAGAAGCGTAAACGCTGGAGCATCAGGCCACCAGGAAGCAAAGCACTGCCATGATATAGTTGCCTAGTCGCTTTTACTCCTTATCATTGTCATTTCATCGTTTCCTACATTTTCACCCACATCTCCCTTCAATTCTTTTTTTTGTCGTCCTACGATCGATTTCCAATTCCAAGCTTGATTATTTTTTTTATCCCTTTCGAGTTTCTAGATCAAAGACATAATATGGAAACTGGGACCTTTATCAGATGGCGCTGCCATCGTCGTCGTTGTCGTCACTGATACATATTCTTTTGGACAAACCCAGTACGCACGTAAAATAATAATTAATAACTGATTACGTCACACTGATTTATATTACAAGGACAGGTGCTTTGAGATTATCGACAAGAATCATTTTTCTCGCACCTATCTTCAAAGGCTCTTATTCGAAATTTCATTTTTCATTTCATTCTTATTGTTATCATTCTTTCGTTTAATTAGCATTAAATGCTAGTTTTAGTATCACTGTCACTACTACTGCTAGTACTACTGCTACTACCTACTACTACTACTACTACTACTACTTGTTACTATACTTATTACTGCCGTTGCTAGCAGCGTTTTAGCAGACCTTGTATAATCATGTCTGATAATATTATCAATCGTTCAGAGATCGATACTACTGCCACTTACAATGGACGTCCTTACACCAAACTATCTTGTCTCTCAGAGTCAGTCCAATAATTGACCGATTAATGGCAGCCGTTTGTATCAACTATACTTTTTGATTACCGCGACTTAACTAGTATTTAATATTAAGATCGTAGTTAATCTAATTTCACAGCCCCGTGAACCTTATTCCTAAAATGATCATTTCGATCTTTCAATGATTATCAGTTATTGTACTCCTGTAGCCTGTAGCCTGTAGCCTGTAGCCAATAATACTGAAATCTCACTGAATCGATTACTCGTCGGCACGTGACCTTGGAGCTTTCCTTTTTCCTTGCCCTGACGTTGGCGACGATGGCGACGATAAAGACCAAGACGACAACCAGGTCCACTTTGTTACAGGCAACGTTTATCGAATGTCCCTGTTTTTTTTTTTTGTAATTTTCATCCTTCCTAACGTCCCTTACATACGTATGTATGAATATTACGAGTTACCAGCGTCGAATATCTTCTCCGTCAAGAAAGTAGCACGCACTCACGTGTCAATCTTGAGCATTTATATGACTTGAAACTCTTGTGATTTGGAATTCACGGTGATTCCCTTGCGTAACCGAAATACTTCGAGAAGAAGAGAGAGAGAGAGAGAGAGAGAGAGAGAGAGAGAGAGAGAAAGTGTTTGCGTGTGCCTGCGAAAGAATGTGTGACTGAGTGCATGTGAAGTAAGCCTTCGCTTACGTATGTATACATATATTTATATATCTACCTATCTATCTATATGTATATGTATATTTATGCGGAAGATAATTGTAACAATTGTTAAGATCGGGAATCAAAATGAATTTCAGTGTACGTCTCTCGACGGGTGCGTCATCGAACGTCATCGAACGTCATCGAATGTCTTGAACGGTCATCGCGAGAGCGAAATTTGATGATCCGATGAGGGACGACGTTACTCGAGGTCTCGTTTGGAAATTCAACATTCCGAATTCTCTCTGAACGTCACCTCGACTAAAGCCAATGGTATAGTCAATCCTTACTCTTAATTGTATCTTAAATTATTTGCGAAATGTAGGTACCTAGGTATTGTTTTGTACAATAAAACTAAGTAAAATGAAAATTAAAGGGTCTCTTAATTAACCATTCAAGGCAATCCACGTCCCTTGTCCTTTTCCAGTCTGTACCTGGTACTTACTTGCAGCTCGCTCCAGCGGACCATCCAACGTGTCCTGCGCGTCACGGATGCTGCTGGACCATTTTGAATCGGTCGACTCGGGACTGAAGATACAGGATCGCCGATCGGCACGTGGCACGCGCTTCTCTTTTGTTTTTGCAGAGCTTGAGCGACTCCGCACTGGGTTAGTGGTTCCTGCCCCGTCCTACCCGGCCTCGCTCCTTCTCTCTCCCTTCGCCTTGAGGCCTCCTTTCTTTCTCCCCACCATCCCCACCACAGTACTATTGCTCCGAGAGGAGCGACTCTTTCTACCCTTCACTCTCTGTCTTCCTCTTTCTCTCGCACAGTCTCCTGCCTCGTTGCCCCCTTGTTACTTTGCCTCTTTGCTGCTTTACCAGTTTGCCACCTTGTCGGTTCAGACGTTACCCGGCGGTACACCGGCTACCGCCACTTCCACTTCCTCGTGCAAGTACCCGTCGCTGCGTCCTGTTTGGCTTTAGACCTTTTCACAGATTCACCAGCTCTTTATTATATTTAAATTCGGTGTGTGGCTCGTGATCGATACTGTGCCTACTTCGATGACTCTTCTCTCGGTTTTGACAATCTCTATACGGATGCGTATAGGACGCAGTGGCACGTGCCTGTTATTGATTGGTCGGTTTAAGAACACAATAAATTGTTAGGCCCGTCTGTGCAGCTGCTTCTTGCTAGCCGTGAACTTTGCCTTTAGTTTTAGATGGTATCCTCGGCTGCGTGGGAACGCGATATATTTGACACGTCTGGCAGAAGCCAATTCTTATTCTTAATGTAACAGGTTTACTGTGCTTCGACCGTGTTCTTTAGGGATGCACTATTTTGGGGAACAAAACGACTTCAGGTACTTTCGAACTTTTTTCGCGATACCGTTAGGCCCAGATTCATAATGATTTTTTGGCCTTGAATTTATTTTTATGGTGGGAATCGCAGTGGGAAATGGCTGTAAACGCATAAATATAGTGGCCTCAAAAAAAGAAGGTCGAAATATTCGCAAATGGCAAAGTACGGTCTCCGACCTTGTTAAAAAGATTTCAAAGATTTGCCTTTCTCAGAATTCCTTTTTTTTTGGCCAAATACTCTAGGTGCTCTACGTGCAGATTGCAAGGTGGATATGCTCAAATTTCGTCTCGGCTGTCGAAGTGACTGAACCTGGCATTAAATTGCTGAAGGGAACTCCGACGACTTAACCGTTAATGAATTCGAATTAGCACAAAGATTTTACGAGGACTTGAAATCCAATCGATTATGGACAAAGGAAAGTTTACCGAGTCACGGAGAAAGCTACCCTGACACACTGGTGAAATCCAGTCAGACGTCTCCGGAATTTAATGAGTTTACGACCAGCGTGCATATATAATTATTCAAAATGGAGCGACTAGGCACGCACCTCGTAATTCGAGCGCAGACAATAATAATGGCAAGGTATTTAAAAATGTATTTATTCGAAAAGATTACCGCCAGTACCAAGAATAAAGATTTATTATCTACTAACTTATTATTTCTATCGCATGAAGCATCGCAAGTCATTAGGAGACATCGAATTTCAAATTGATCCAATTAACTTGGGTCTTTATCATAGAATTTCCTAAAATTGACTCATAGCTCAAAGTGCGTTTAAGCATAGAGGTACCGTACTTAAGGTTCAAGGGTCAATTTGGGTTTTCCCTTTGTAATCACTCTTGGAAAATTACACCACAAACTTTGTTCGATCGACAGAATTACCTGCTTGAGAATTATCAGAATCATTAGCAAAGACATCAGAACGGACATTAGCAACGTAATTTTGGTGGGTCCTTCTCTGGCTCTAACGGAAGCGGCGGAGACTCGTAGCTGCGCGACAGATGCGCTCGGCTCATTCGGTTCTCCACTTTTCCTCTTCCTCCCCTTTGGCTTTCTTCCCAGCAAAACTGAATTTTGGCTTTGGGAAAAATCTCCCCGTGCCCGAACGCGGAAGCTGATGCTATGGACCACAGTTAGGTGAGGCTTAGAAAAAAAGGTGATGAAAAAAGAAAAAGAGATGAAAAAAAAACACTGAAGAAAAGCCAGCTTGCCGATAGGCAGCATGGACCTAACGGGATCTCTATAACCACCCCGCCGCATTGGCCTGGGATAAAAAAAGGGGGATGAAAAAAATTGGAGGGTACCCTCAACCCTTCCGCATACCAGTGCGAGCCATTTAGAAAGTACCTTTCTCCTCGGCCTTATCCGTCCTCCCTCTTACCTCTTAACTCTTCACCTTTCTCTCGTCAACCAACCCTTCCGCTCTCGCTACTCTCCTTCCCTACTTTCCTCGGTTTCTCGCTTTATTTCTTTATTGTCTGCCTTCCCAGTACGACAATTCTGTGTGGCTTCTTCTTTTTTTTCAGCCGCACTGAAAAACTCCTACAGGGTTACCAGGTGGTTTATGTAAACCTACTGGCAAAAGGATCCCGTGAATTGCGGCAGTAATGGTCGATGTAGAGCTGCACTGCCTTAACCTTTCAGCAGTCGTGGTGAAGCTGAAATTCACGCTGCTTTTTCAAATTAAAAAAATTTGCCGGTCAGTAAGGTAGGACTGCGAATGACAATGTACCGATAGCCCCAGATAGGTGGAAGATAGTGGTACCATGTCGAGTAAAGATAGTGAGTAGTTTCCTTCCGGCATCGGATCAATCAAATCTTCGTCAGCCGCTTTGATCAACGGCAGTTTAAGGGTTAAAGCAAAACCGGCGTCGACATCCGGATCGTCAAGCTCATAGTGGTTAAGCCACAGGGTGAGGTTCATTATCGCGGAAGGTGGAGTTGGTTTGTGGCCTTAGAAAAGAAAAAGAAAGAAAAAAAAGAAAAAAGAAAAGGTCCGAAGCACCCTAATCGCTCGACGCGTCGAAACTCTTCAATCTCCGTCGACTGATACGCGAGGAACGAAAGACTTTCGGTTTTAACAAAGTTTTAGCCGGTGTGCAGGAATGCGTGAGATCCGTGACGGCATCGTATTGGAATCTCCTTTCGAATCCGAGAGCGTGGCGAGACTATCGAAACTGAAAAGATCGAGAGCGGTTCTCCCTTAAACTGACTGCTGGACAGTTTGTCACTGGGAAACTATTTCTGCGGTATGAAATATCGTGGTGAAGGAACAAAAGGCTGGGAGTGGACCCGAACAAGATCTAGAAGCCACCTAGAAGGGATCTGGAAGAAGCCACCGTGAACCGTGTATATATGGTAGCATAAACGAATGAGAGGGAATGTGACGGAATGAGAAGAAAAATAAATGAACGGAAAGTGCCGGTTTAGCTGATTAAAACTATTGATAATTTTATACTCGCTATAGGTGGTCCAGGCCTTACTTATCCATTTTACGAACACGGATCCCATTGATCACTGATGATTAATCCAGCTGAATCTTTCCTATTGGCGATCGACCGTATCGTCTTCGTCTCGTCTGGACCACAGACTTCGTATTTTACATGGTGCGCTACTGTTTAGTTCTCATCTCCTCTCGGTTCCACTCATTGGAAAAAGATTAAGACGGTACAGCATTCTCTTTTTCGGTTATGAAAATGCTCGCTGTTTGCCTGAACGTTCTAAAAAAAAATTGTTAATCGATAACGACTTTGCCGATTTATCTTTATTTATATATCTAGCTAATTTATCGGCTACACAAAGTTAATTTATGCCGAGACTATACGATGCCAATCGTGAGCTCCTCATTGGGAACAATGAGTCACTTGGCTAATCGCAGAAAAGTCTTTTGCCACGGGCGGGACGCCTTCGAGATTTCAAAGATGATAGATCTCGAGCAACGATAACCTTCGGAGAAATGGCGTTAGGTGCATTTCTTCGTTACGTCGTTACGGTCTAAGAAAACTTTTACTTTACGAGCAACCCTTCGTCGAAAGCGGCCAATCGGCCATTCTGGTACCACCCTGTTTCTCTACCTACCTGTCACTCTCCTCTCTCTCTCCCCCCCCCCCTCTTTCTCTTTCCTTTCTCCTT